ATAAGTATATTATTCGATTATATCTCATGTGCACTTCCTCAGCGATAACACCTATAATACGTGGTTCAGAGATTATTGTAAGATTCAAGCCTTGCGCATGCGTAAAATCAGTGAGCATCCGCTTTTCCGAAATCGTGACTTGTTTTTTTCATCATATTGGTGCAAAGTTTAAATAGTTGATAATTAATTTTCCAGTTACACACAGACATATTATAAGTTAACAATTATCGCTATGTTAAAGATACCCAGCAAAAACGTATTCACCTTGGCGGAACTGACGTAACTCCTTCTCTCCTAATAGCAGGGGTGGCGTCAGCGGGAGAGGGGAAGGGCCCCACAATTTGTAGGGGAGAAAATCTATTAAATAAGCCTTTGAAACCTCTAATTTGTCATATTTTCCATGGTTTCACCCCCTCGATCACTTTGAAATAATATTGAGTGACGCCCGACCACGCCCACTTTGCTCTCGTTGGGGACATCGCCCACCCGTCAGGAAAATAATGGCGCAATCCCTGCCTAATAGATTATTATTATTATTATCATTATTATTATTATTATTATTTTTATTATTATTATTTCTTCGAAAACAGTGTTATAGGCCAAATAAGTAATGCATTACAATACAAAATTACATCCCAATGCAAAATAGACCCTATTAAATGTGTTGCAACATTCTAATGGACTATACAATAAACACCTTAGCAAATGGAAGACAACGGTAATTGTGAGTCAACAATTTTGTTTATAATGCTGACACAGTGGTTTAAAAAAACAATATTGTAAAAACTGAATTATACACACAGTCTAAAAAGTTATAATGAATTTAAACATTCTCTATTTATTATATGTATTCCTTTAAACATAGAATGTGAATATAACAATGATATAATAATAATAATAATAATAATAATAATAATAAATAATAATAATAATAACAATAACAATAATAATAATAATAGTAATAATAATAACAATAATAATAATAAGTAATAATAACAAATAATAATAATTAATAATAAACATAATAATAATAATAATAATAATAATAATAATAATAATAATAATAATAATAATATTATTATTATTATTAATACCGAACCACAATGTATCACTCACCGATTTCATGTGCCATTTGCAGTTTTGGTCTTTGGTTTTAGGGTATTTTGGAATTGATCACTCAGCAATTATGCCGATTTGAGAAACCACTGTTTGGACTAGTGGTGTACAACGCCTATGCGCTCTCGTGTGGCAGTCCCCTGGGCACCCGACTTCTAGGGGCCCCAAGTGGCCCCTACCCATGATCCTCAGTGTAGCACAGGACCTGACTCAAGAGAGATTTGTTTAAACATAAAGGCATTGACATTGACTATAGGATCAGGGAACTGGCAGGATAGGCCTATATCATATTATATCAAGTGACAAAATTAAGAGGAGGAGGAGGCAGCCGAGCCGAGTCCCCCTAAATTTTTCAAAATTATTTTTAGATAAAAATAAAATTGTCTATATGAGTGCCATTTCCGGCATCTGCTGAGGTGCCATAATCATAATTTTTCCTACCTCAGCCCCAACCGTGGTGTTGAG